GCACACATGGCATGGGACCTCGATAGGAGAGAACAGGTTGAGATCAACTTGGAAGATAGCAATGAAACCGATTCGGAAGTCCCTCCAGATCCCAATGCACAGCCAAGTAGTTCGGGAGTCTTGTCCATTCCATTGCAAATTGACCCCAATGAGAGAACCACCATGGGTAAGAAGCATAGGAGGGCAGTCTTGGAGGGCATTGACCGATTGAACCATCAAGATGCTTTGGTCAAATCCAGCATTGGTCTGAAGGACGTCCCAGTTTCAGAGCCTCCAACCTTGGTCATTACTTCGCATCCCCGCCTCTTTCAGGAGCTTCAAGCAGCAGATGGTGTTGCAGACGTTTTTGACGTCGGTGTGGGAGCTGAGCACCTCAATCCTGAGGAGAACTCCAAGGTCTGGTATGATGTTTTGCAAGACTACAAGAACATCGTCATTGCCATAGGGTATGAAAAGAGTACAGACTCTTTGAGACATGGTAAGATTTTGGGTGAAGTAGAATCCCATTGTGACATGAGTGGTAGCCGGTTTTTGCACATTGATGTTGCAACTACCCAGAGATGGGAGGAACATGAGTTTCCACAGATTCCCCATATCAACGACCATGACTTGGCATTCACCTGCAATGATCCTAAGTGGACTGAGCTTTTCGAATCGTGGTTTCGAGGACAGACCATGAATGATGTTTTGTCTTGGCAGTTCGTTGATTGGTTAGGTGAATGGACCAATGACACAACTTTGGACGATGAGATGTCTGTAGCATTTGTTGGTGAACTGCAAGAAGAGGCCATGGATGATGAACAGCAGTTCGATGCCATCTGGGATGATGAAGATCGTGCACAAGTGAATCCAGTAGAAGACCTGATCTCAGAAGAGACACTGGTCGATGAAGTGGACATCCCAGGCCTGCCAGCAGATGAAGTCGAACGACGCCGGATGTGGCGCAAGTTTCCTGCACGTGTGAGGATTGGTGTGAGAAGATTGCATAGGCAATTTGGACACGTCCCCAAACAGACGATGATCCATCTCCTTCGTGCAGCAAAGGTTCGAAAGGAATTCATCGATGCTGTCAGGATCCACAGATGCGAAACTTGTGAAGCAACATCCCAGAAGAAGGCCACGCACAAGACAGCATTGCCTAACAACTACTCGTTCAACCACACAGTAGGAATTGATGTGTTTGAAGTTCACGACATTTCAGGTGACAAGCTCCAAGTGTTGAACATGGTTTGTTTGGGTACTACTTTTCAGCTATGTGAGGTTGTTCGTTTTGGTGCTGGTCAACCGTCTTCTGCCGAATGTCTGAAAGCACTGAGGAAGCGTTGGTTCTCATGGTGTGGCCATCCTGTGAACATTGCATGTGACAGAGGTCTGCACAACCGAGGTGTCATGAAGAAGTACATGGATGAACATGGAATCCAAGTGTACCACACCCCTCTGGAAAGCCCGGAGAATCTTGGTCGTGTAGAACGTCATAGAGGCATTGTCAAGTCACTCTTTAGGAAGGTTTGCAAAGAGACAGGCGCTGTTGGCAGAGAACAGGTTGAGCAGGTACTGCTCAAGGTAGTAGCTACTAAGAACAACTCTAGTAGAGTCGGAGGTTTCTCGCCTAGTCAATGGGTACTTGGAAAAGGACCCCGATCAGATCCGAGCCCATTGTCTGAAGAACGGTTTGCCGAGCTTGGAGCTATTGAAGCCCGTCACAACCCAGAGAGCATTTTCGCCTTACAGCACATGGCCAGGCAGGAAGCTCAGAAAGCATTTGTTCACCTAGATTGTTCGTCAAGGGTGTCCCGTGCGCTTACTCGCAATGCTTCCAGCCTTCCTCGGGAGTATGCAGTAGGAGATTTAGTGACCTTTCGTCGAGACAATCAAAAGGGGGGCACCACATGGAGTCCCACTAGTCGGGTGATAGGCCATGAAGGTGAAAGGAATTTGTGGTTGTTATGTGGAAATGTTCCAGTGTTGGTCGCCAATCAAAATGTGAAGATTGCTACGCCGACCGAAGCACTAGCTCATGCTGTTTTGCATGGTGAGCCTGTTTTTCCCGAAAACGTTGTCAAGGAAGGTGTTCAGCAGTCTTTCCTTGATGCACGTGCAGATCCGAGCGAACCCGGATCCCCAATACACATCGAATCTCAAGAAACCGAACCCCAATTTCCGGATGCTGGTTCACTACCCCCTGTTCAAGAAGATGATGAGTTAGATGTAGGGATCAGACCGGATTTCTTTGATGAAGACCAATCCGAAGGTGAAGACGCGCTTGAAGAGTTGAGTAGATCCTCAGGTTCCAACTCACGCCCATCGCCTGCCGCAGGGAGTGACCATGGTCGCAATGTGAGGCCCCGTATCGCTGAGCCAGAAGGTGAGCGTGGATCCTCATTGCAACCATCCCGTAGGGAATCATCGGATACTCCAAATGCATGGCCCAATGTGTATGATCAATTGAACGACTTGCCAGTATCCCTACAAGAGCATTTTGAGAGAGCTCGTCAGAGAGACAGAGAGCAGACAGAGCAAGATCGAGAAGAAGCACATGCCATGTGGACCAGTTTTCTTGCCCAGACGGATGAAGAAGTAGATCTAGGTAAGAAAGTCCTGAAAAGCATTCACTATGAATCTGCACCCCCGGAAGTGCAGAGAGCTTTGCAGGATGCGAGAGGGAAGGAATGGGCCAAGTTTGAGGAGTTTGGAGCTGTTGTGGCGCTGACTCCAGAACAAGCGCAAGAACTCATTGATGAAGGGCACCAATGCATTCCATCCAAATGGGTGGATGTAGACAAAGCAGAGTACAAGAAGGGGAGAGACCCTGACTACAAACCCCAATACAAGAGCAGACTAGTTTCGTGCGGAAACTTCGAAGTGACAGAGGGTTTGAGGTCAGACAGTCCAACGGCCGATGTCGAGATGCACTGTCTCGTCTGCAGTTGGGCAGCCTGTCATCAGGCCGACATCCATTCAGCTGATATCACCTCGGCGTATTTCCAGGGACGACCATTGGATCGCGTCCTTCTTATGCGTCAAGCCAGAGGAGGTTTGCCAGGTGTAGAACCCAATGTCCTTTTTCTTGTGAGGGTCCCTGTATACGGGATCACGGACTCAGGAAGAGGCTTTTGGTTGCGTTTGGATGCCGATGCACGTAAGAGCGGCCTGAAGGCAAGCCAGTTTTTCCCAGGATTGTACTACCTCCCAGGTGAGCAGGGAGGAGATGCTTGTGCCCTCATGTGCACTCACGTGGACGACTTGCTTTATAGTTTTCTTCCGGAAGGCGAGGAAGTGATGAAGTCTTTTCTTGCCAAGTTCAGTGTCGGCAGCTCAGACACTAACAGCTTTCGATATTGTGGGAAGCAGTTCGTGCGAGGAGATGACAAGGTCATCAAAGTCGACACAGCAGATAACACTAGGAAGATTCATGGAGCAGATGTTGGGTCTAGGCTAGGCAGTGAACGCCTCCAGCAAGGAGACATCACGAAGCTCAGATCGATCACCGGATCGCTCGCCTGGATCTCGAGACTGACATTGGTTACAGGGTAAGCCGTTTGCAGTCTAGCATTAAAGATGCAACTGTGTCCACGTTGGCAGACGCTAACGCAGTCGTTGTCCTGGCACACAAAGGTCACGATGTGGCATTGTGTTTTCCTGCAGCTCATCTCCAATGGAGTGAAGTTGGTGTGATCACGGTCACAGATGCCTCCTTCTCCAACGAGAAGAACTACAAGTCGCAACAGGGCAGGATCCATTTTCTGGGTGATCTCAAGGAGATCAAGGATGACAAGACGACCACCTATAAGGTGATGCCATTGTCTTTTGGATCCACGACAATTAAGAGAGTCTGCCGCAGCACTCTCCAGGCCGAAACGTATTCCCTCCAGAACGGACTCGAGACAGGTGACAAGCTGAGAGGTGTGATTGCGGAAATTAAGGGTAAGATTCGCAGTCTGAAGACATGGGAAGATAATGCCCGAGAATGCATTCCGCATTTGGCAATGACTGATTGCCGTTCGCTTTCTGACCACCTCAATCAGGAAGTCCTGGCCAAGGTGAGTGACAAGCGCCTTGGTATCGAGTTGCAAGGAATCCATGAGAATTTGTGGCAAGAAGGAAGACCAACATGGATTGCCTTCGAGAATGGAGGAGACAAGTTGATCTGGATCGCCACCAGTACGATGGTGTCGGACTGTTTGACGAAGTCCATGAAGCCAGATCTGCTACTTCGAGTGCTGAAAGAGTGCCGCTACACTGTACAGAAGCAGAAGTAGATTTCTCCAATGCCTTAGGAAGACACAAGAGTTTCAATGTATAGCCGTGTGACACCTGTAGAACAGGTTGAGTGTGAATTTGAGGTAGGATCTCATTCTGTTGAGCCAGGTTGTCACACTATGTTGTGTCTGCCGCCATTTGGCTCCTAGGGCCCTTGAGCTATACCGTGCTCGCTTTCGCAGTGAAAAGAGCTTGTGGACAGTACGATTCCGGTTGCTACCGACAATCTTTTTGCTGAGATGAGGCATTGATCTGGTCTACCAGAAGCTGATGATTAGCCAAGAGATTCGCCTCCTCTCCCTGCTTCGTTCAGCTGCTGTTTGGAAGCAAAACTGGCAGGAGAATGAGCAACAAACCTTGCGCATGCTGGTCGATTCGACCAATGCATTGCAGCGCACGAAGTCGCAGTCAGCGGAAAAGACGCCAAACTCTTCACTCGTGGCAGACGGGTATTGACGGAATCTCCCATGGAAAGTTTCGATGGTGTTTGTTCCACTTTCGGGCAAAGTCTTTGAGATTCGGGCAGAAAACCTCCCAAACCGGCTGCATATGAGGGCGGTTGGTCTTGATCAACAGTTCTTCATTCATACTCGGCATGGCTGAGTATTCCTGTCGTGAACCCGGAGACCCCACCAAGACATCTCACACGACCTTCACAGACTTCGGACACCAAGTTTCGCACCCACTAAGAGACCACCCCGCACACACGCAACACACTGCGCAGTGCCATGGCCGTCGAGGCGCTGCTGGGAGATCCCCGGGCAGAGCTGGATTGGAATGACTTTGCGGGTCGACTGCTGACGCGAGTCGCATGCTGAGCTGGGGGGGGAGGGACGCCAGGCGACGGTGCGAGATTGCATCTTCCAAAAATGGCTGTGGGGAACTGGCACCAGTAGACCGACCAGTTGTACTACCGTACCTTACCTTACCTTGCCCTACCTACCTACCTCATGGGGGACTGGCCGGGCTCCAGGTTGAAATGACCCATCCTCATATTGAGCTTGCAAGTTCGAGGAGGTTTGACACGTCCAAGCGACAGTGATGGGCTGACAGTGATGGGCCGTCGGTGGGCGTGGCACGCACCGGGTTTTGTGCGTTGTTGTTTTGTGAAGGCCTTAGACTGGTGATCCAATCTGTCAGTCACAACTATCAGCGACGGATATCTCGGCTCAGGCACCTGTCAAGGTGTGGGGTTCCATGTTTTGAGAGATCCTGGTGGAACTTGCAGCATGAACATACACATGAGCCTGGTGGCTTGCGTTCGTCCCGTCAGATGGACGCAGTTCGCTCCTGAGGTTCGAACTCCGTGGCTGACACGCCCCTTGGCCTCGCTGGACCGTCGGACCGTCCGGTGCACCGACCTGTGGCGCTGGTAGCACCGGTGGCCCATTGATCCATGGGGTAGCACCGGTCGGCAGGTAGTTGTATCCAGCAAGCAGATAGTGGTTTTTAGCACCGGGCCTCACTCGTGGCATCGGTCGGACAATATTGGACAGATGGACGAGCCAACCATGGAGAGAAGGGCGGAAGGAAAACTGACCCCGAAAGACATGATGGAACGGATACGTGATGATATAGTATGACATAGCCATATAGGACAGGTTGAGGAGGAGGCTGGGGCATCAACGATTTTTGAAGTTCGTTTTTTGGACATGTAGACCGTGCATTGTCAGAAAACTCAGACTGGGAGATGCATAGCTGCATTACAGTGTTTTTCTTATTTACAGCCTTCGGCATGCCGCCGGCCACCAGCTCGAGCCCGCATTGGCAGGCAGCCTAATGATGCTTATTAACAGTGTTCCACGACTCGGAGAAACAAACCGTAGATTGAAACCAACCGGGGCAGGGCAGGCTGTCGAAACATCCGCGCGGAGAAACAAACCGTAGATTGAAACCAATGGAAACCAACACAAACCAGACGAAGCAAGACAATCCACAAAACCGGTACTTGAAAATGAGTCTTCTTCCAAACTACTTGGCCTTTTGCATGTTTTCCTTGTCAGATCTTTTTTCGACCGTCTTGAGAAATTGCGAGTCGCACAAAAGAATATCTCTTTTTCACATACAGAAGGCTTCAAAGCGACCGAAGAATTGCTTGATCTGGCATGATTTGTCGTTTTTTTCTCCAAACCGTTCGAAATGAAAGACCCAGAATGACATCGAACAACAATACCCTGCTCAATCATACTTGTTGGTGCATTGGAGTTGCACATTTGGCTGGGTGAGTTTGTTGATGTCTATTTCAAGGTTGTTTGACCATGAAATGGAACGAATCCGAATAAGAGGTTGTCTATTCTGATCCAGCGATCCGAACCGGCATGTCTCAGTCGAATCACCTAAGAGGAACCAATTGAAACCAACACAAGCAATGCGAACCAAGACTATCCACAAAACATGACCTTGAAAACGATTCTTCTTCCAAACTACTTGGCCGTTTGCATGTTTTCCTTTTCAGATCTTTTTTTCCGACCGTTTCGAGGGATTGCGACACGCACCAGATATTCTTTTTCACACACAGAAGGCTTCAAAGCGACCGAAGAATTTCTAGATCTGGCATAATTTGCCGTTTTTTTCTCCAAACCGTTTGAAATGAAAGACCCAGAATGACATCGAACAACAATACCCTGCTCGATCAGACTTGTGGGTGCATTGGAGTTGCACATTTTGTTGGGAGAGTTTGTTGATGTTGATTTCAAGCGAAGTCGTTTTACAATGAAGTGGAAGTCTATTCTGATCCAGCGATCGACATGTCTCAGTCCAATCACTTTAGATGTAAAGGGGGGGGGAGGGGGGGGGGGCGTCAGGCTGTCGAAAAATCCGCGCGGAGATACAAACCGTAGATTGAAACCAACACAAGCAATACTAACCAAAACAATCCACAAAACACGCCGGCAGGCCGGCGGATTCTTAATTGATCAAGGGTCTACATTATGGTGTTGGTTTTCAGCCTTTGGTAGGTTCATGGGAGGCTCTCCACCAACCTTCCATTTCGATTCACCATGTTTCCCTCGCTGAAATCCTCCACGGAGGGAAGGCTGGATGGGGATGTGGAGGGTAGGCTACACCATTGGATGCTACACTCTTGATTTACAGCTACCCCGTTATGAAGGAACAGACACGCAGAACTAGCACAGGTTTGCTTTCTTGCTGTAGTAAGTTTAGAAACATTGGTGAACATCTCACTTAGTCATCGACTGAGTCCGGGTCAGTCGATCTGTGAGAGAAGGATATACGTGGGACCCGTGAGATGATGTGGGTTTTAAACACCCGGATCCCCTTTCACCAGGGGTAGCAAGCGACCGAGCTCCTTATATAGTTCTCTCCATTTCTCTTCATTGGTCTTCACAGGTCAACCCAGGATCCGCCCGGTGCCAGCTCCCCCCTACATGGGTCATCACATCCACAGACCGTCCGAGTCACCAAGGCCAGGGTGTGGCCGAGATCTTTGCTCAGCTTCAGGCGCCCCCGTTTCGTCTGGGCGCGGCGCGGCCCCGCGGGGGCATCCGGCTGGCTGAGCATGCAACGAAGGCATGCGCGAGATCCATGCGCGATATCCATGCGGATGTCCAGATGGCGTTCATATGATGAGAGATGTTGAGAACTACCGTTGTCGATGCTTCTCGCAATGAACATTGGACATGATATGTTCTAAGTGGTGCTCAACATTTTATACACCTTGTTATATAGATAGAAGCGAATTCCAATGGATATTGAGGGAATGGTTCATTTTTTGTCCTGTTATAAAGGCGGACCATGTCCCTTTCTTATGTTCATTCCAGTTCTATTGGAAGTCGTTTCTGTTTGTGACCACTCGAGGTCCCATATTTTGCGTGTTGTGGCAGTCCAAAAATTTGCATGGGATGAGAGGTTGACCAGTGACGTTCCCGCTACGCAGGTCCGAGCCTCTGGCTCTTTGCCAGGCCAGATGCAGCCAGTGGCGCGGAGCCTCAGGCTGCAGATTGAAACATGTGGGAGAGCTAGTCTCGTCTTCTGTGAATGTTGGGCATGACCACGCGGTGGTTTGGACAATTGACTGTTGGAACACATATTGCGAACTGGAGCTTCTTGTGTTCCATTCCTGATTAATCATATGACCTGGAACGCTTCTTTTGCGGGGGTCTGCAGCGGGGTACGTATATAGATTGAGAAGCAGCTTAGAGGGTTTTGCAAGCACCCACTCTCCAAACCACCCGCAAGGTCCTCGGTAGATACAGTAAACAACATCTCTACAGATCGACTCGATTCACTGAGGTTCGAGTGCCTGACTTGGTCCAAGCCCTTTTGGGCTCAGAGGACTTCGCATTGGAGGCCGATGGCGCGCGTCCTCGTTCTCCTGGCGTTCGCCGCCGCTGGATCTCACCGGTGCCCGCAGGCTGCGCGACGGGTGCTCCGTGTAGTGGCACGAGAAGCAGGGCATCGAGAGCAAGATGCGAGGAGTCCTGAGGATCTGGAGGGTGCGGCTCTCCATGCAGCCAAATGGGGATGGATGTCAATCTAGCATAGCCATGCATAACCTAGCATGGCTTCTGAGTGATACCCCCCACCTAGAATTGCTATTTTTTGTACTTCTAGGTTCTAGGCGACCCACATGAGCATTAAATTGGTATTTGTTAAAGGGAAACTGCTCGAAAGCAATGTTGAGATATTATGTTGAGCCCATTCAGCTCGAGGTTGGCAAACTCTGCCTTGCAGCCGACACAAGACGCGCTGCCCTTGGCTGGGAAACTATATCACTTCATGTAATGTGAAGTCCGGAACCTTTATGATCCTGCTTGCCTCAACATGCCCAAAGTCATACGCAGTAAACTTGAGGGCATGACTGGACATCACTGGGCCACCTGCTGCCTTGAAACGAGGTGTCGGCAGCCTGAATCTCAAGCAGCTGTCGTCGGTGCTCTTGGCCTTGTGCCCAGGGATGTTGGCAGAGGTGACACAGTGACGCGAGCTGCGTGTCCTGCTGTGCCGCAGGGTTGGTTGGTTGGTTGGTTGGTTGAAAAGAGCTGGAGCTGGTGCCAGAAGGTCTCCAATAGTCCATTTTGAGGTTCGCCAGAGACAAAACTGGCGGAGTTCCGTTTCCATCGGGGTTGTAAGTTGGGATTATTGCTCGATCCACCTGATGGAATTGCGAACGTGCGGGGATGGTGGAACACTCTGATCGGTGTTGGACCTGGTTGTGGAGGCAGATGTCGGCCTCATCTTTTGGCGCTTCTCTGGAAGCGGAGGCTTTTCCTACGAGCAGCTACAGGCATCCTGAGTGGCGGGGCGGGTGCGTCTTGGGTGAGGAAGGAAGAGAACATAATCATGAGCATGCATGAATCACTTTATGGAGTTCATCTTAGACCTTCTTTTGCGCTTTTGTACTATTTATCAGGAGTGGAACAAGATGCTGCTTTTGGGGGGTGAAGTTCCAATATCTTGGTAGACACATAAACACATAGTGGTCGGCTGAGCTGTCAAGGACAGGTGCAGAGGTTTAAGAGCAGAAGCTTCCAGTGTTGCTTCATCCTAAATTGGCTAACAGCTGGCTATGCATCGAAGAAGGTGAATTAGGCGGCGACAGCGTTCAGATTTTTTCATTCATGAGCCATACCCACCTCTTGGTTTGGATTGCACAAATGGCTTCATGGTCTTCCTGCTCTTCAAGCTGTCTCGATATTGAATGCGAAGGTCGGACTCTATGCCATCTTAAGTTCTGGATGAATCATGCGGAAGCTCGTTCCAAACTAATTAACAACCATGCTGCCTCATGTCAGGCTGCTTTGAAAGAGGAGCAGAATGCTGCTGCAGAGCATTTGCTGTTGCGCGGAATGCCAGTCCTCTCCTTGGTCGTATGGTCAACGTGCACAGCCGACTCAAAAAGATTGATTGATCACACATGAACATCATCACGAAACATACATTTTGGGCCTGTCCGTTCTTACCTGTAGAGCCGTCAGTAAACAAGAACATCACTATTTCTGAACAAGGCCTTCATCATCATCCACTGTTACTGCTAATAGGACAGACATATCTATGTATATATAATATATAATATATTAATATATGTATGTGTCTGTCGGCTCTTTTTCTTCGGGGAGACACCAAACAGTCGACAACGGTCGTGTTCCTACGGAGCGGAGCTTCGGTGGGACGGAGAACGACTGAGTCGTTTGGAACTGCTGAGGAACTCATTAGCAAAGCTGCAGAGTTCCAGGTGGGCACGAGAGTCGTGAAGGAATCATCGCGGAAGATGCGGTTTTGTTTTAGAAAGCTGCTTTCTTGGTTGTCTACAGGAGGTTTTGCCAGAATGCTCTCCCTAATTGTAGGGAATCCTGGGTGATAAATATATGCGCCTGATTCTTCTGTGTTTGGTCTTTGTGAACTTTGAAGCACAACCTGGGCGCCAGCCAATCCCCTCCATCGAGCACGTTTGTGCCCCAGGCGGCCGCCAAAGTGCATGACGCTGCTCGCAGTGGATCGTTGTCAGCTACCCAGCCCTGGCCTCGGTACGGCTCGGGGCCTCGCCTCGCCAGCCGCATCCTTCAACGAACGGCGCGACCCGACGCGACGAGGGTCGTGCGATGACCAGGCTGAGCGCGGCGTTGAGCCAGCTGAACTTGTTCGCACAAGGCGGAGACCGACGAAAGAGACCTTTTTCACTCGAACTGCAAGATTTTTCGCAAGGTTGGAGGTTGGAGGCCATCGCTAGTAGGTTGGAGGTCATCGCTATTAGGGTGGAGGCCATCGCTCTTAGAAACAAAGAAACAGAAAAGGAAGAAAGGTCTAGAGTCCAATATAGTTTGCTATTTGGTTGGAGGCCATATAGTTTGCAGTGAAGGGACTCCAACAATGGAGACCCTTCCGAGATTTGTTCTCCTCCATCACGTGGATGAGAGAAACTTGTTCTTTTGAGGAGCACCGAGAATCACCTTTGATACAATTCTACACCACCGCGCCGCATCGTCGATGACCAACTCACGACCTTCCCCTCGCAAAAAAAGGTCTGGAAAGGACACTCCAGTAAATCCGTCCTGTACTGCAGGACTCTTGTTTCATTTCAACCCATCATAACCCATCCATTTGGACAGCAAAAACCCTCTTTCACTGTGCCGGCAGGGTTCATTGATACTACACATCTCTCGTCCGCCCGTGGAACTCGCGTGGAGCGCCACCAGGGGACCGGGCCGAGTTGGAGAACTTCGTCGCACTGCTGGCGCCGGCCTGTAAGCGGAGTGCGGCGAACTTCGACTATGCCACCCTGGTGCCTGGTGGCGTGTGGAAGGTGGGACGTGGGACCTCCGATTTTGGGCAGGAAGAGGGTCGGAATGGGAATGGTTTCGATTCACCCTGATTGATGAACCGCTGCTTTCAGCTTAGATCCTGAAGCCATTCATCTTTGGGACCCTGGCTGCCAGGTGCTGCGAATCGAAGTCGAATCTGCCGCTTTCCTTCTTTGGTTTGAAAAGACTGTTGGCCGAATCTGATTGGAGGCGACCAAGTGGAGAACCCACCTTAGACACACACTAGACAGTGTCCTTTCGGGCTTCGGATGGGTCTGTTTGATACCCTGCACGATCTTCTCGAACCTTGGTCTTGAAATTGACAACTTATGCTCACAGCACAGATGTTGCAAAAGCTTTGCACTTGTCGGCACAGATGGGTCAAACTGAAAGTAGTGAAATCTCTTCTTTAGCCATTGACTTTGCCGGGGACGACCCAGTCACAGTCAAAACATGACAAGACCATTGGATGAGTGAAGAGGTCGACGTGGGCTGGCTGAAATAGATTTCGACATGGAGTTCAGCATTCGAAGCAGGATATTCACCCTAAGTTCCATACTATATTATCCTACAACTCATCAATTAGTCATCAGAAATCATCAGAATATGTTTGCGTGATTCCACGGCTCAAAAAACAGCTCGGCTGGCTCGGTTAGGATCAGCGGAATCCTAAAGGGATGCATTTCGTCAACACGATTGGGTTGATTGGGTTTTGACTATTTAAATTACTATATACATGGATTGATGCTATAAATTACTAAATGGATCCCGTGGATACGGGTATGACTCATACGGGATCCAAGGGATCCATCACAAATAAAACCGTATGGCTTTGGATCCATCCCATGGATGGTCCTCTTCACCGATAGGGGATTGTGTGGAACCTCAGAGAACACCTATCGACAGTTGAAGGCCCTGACCTCATCACACACACACACACACACTCGGGTGATTCTATGGCGCGCTCTTCCACGGCCTATGACTTGGGGAAGCTGGTTGTTTGCTTCGACATGAGAGGATTGCAGTCCTTCTTCGATCATCTCGATGCGTCCTTTTTCCCGCTTCGCTTCCAGGGACCTTCAGTGGAAGAGGCCGTTCGCCGTGTCTGTGGAGACCCAGAAGAGCCTCCGCCGCCCAACAAGCCAGCGAAGAGGCTGGAGATCAAGTGTGCTTGCACTCACAGCAGGGCCCACCTCCCCCCCAAAATATTTGCCTTGGATCTTCCCTTGAGGATGAAGGCTGTCGACCTACTCTGAGACAAGCTCATCATGGACACCAAGTCACTAAGTCTCTGGTAGGTTGACGTCCCTGGTGTAGAGTCCCGTCTCATGTTCGGGAAAGACCCTGGATCCTGCAGTTCTGACCCGTCCATCGTGGACGAAGCGAAAGTGGACAGCCACATGGGCTGACGTAGGACCTCGACCCGGACAGCCACATGATGCCACATTGGTCGTCCCGACTGGTTCGTGTTTTTTGAATGGACAGATTTAACGAAGAGGAAGACACTTGTGATTGGCGCCTGCGAAAGCCTGAAAGCGACCCACTCCGAGATGGGCGGGGTATATTCCGGTAGAGCCCTGTGCAGTCTGGTATTTTTTTTTCTTTTACGACATGACATCCATCAACATCACTGGTTGTGCTGCTTTGGCAACATGTACACAATGTAAACCCTCTTCTGAAGTGATTTCCCTTGTTCTATGTCCTACGAGTGTCCTGAATACTGTCCTGAATCACATCAGCCAAGGCCAGCAAACCATCCGATGTAATCTCATCCAAACTTCCGTATTTTGCACAGCTCTGTAGAATTTCAAAATCATGTCAACAATCTCAGCTCACGTGCGCCAAAAAAGCAAGCGCTGCCTGCTTCCGCGCTTTTTGCGGAAGCACTGACAGGCACTTGTTGGCCATCCTCTACTACAAGACGGCTGAAGCCAGCAAGAAGTTGGGCTTGTGCCCAGCTCGGTCGATGAAAACGAACAACGGAGGAAGCGGATGACCCGAATGACGTGTGACCAAGCAACCCGAATGCCGACGGTGAATCACCCGACGTCGATTCAGGGCCAGGGCTTGAAAGATCCCTCCTGACATAGAGTCCTGTTTTCTTTCTTATTTGTTTCTATTAGGTTGGAGGCCATCGCTACTAGGAGGCTGTTGCAATTAGGTTGGAGGCCAGACCCTTCAAAGATCCCTCCAGTTCCATCGGGTCAGAGAGTTGGAAGAGTTCCATCGGGTCCTATCATTCGGATGGACATTCGGCACTCCGGACCTAAAGGTCAAACCTGACTTCAGGAAGCTCCAGGTGAATTGTGGGGTTCCCATGTGAGGCATGCTCCAACATTAAAGGCAGGCTCCAAAAGTGGATGTCCGGTTGATTTGGTGGAAGTGCTCAAAACCCTGTAGAATCTTCAGGGACTCCCCCAAAAACGGTAATCCATGTTTGTGACATACTATTTTTCTCAATTTGTCGCCGTGTGTGAGTGTGCAACAGCACGATCACCGAAACGGCAACAGCACGGGGATGCCTCAGGACAATTCCCGAAGACTTGTCCAAGAGCGAACGACGTGTGGCATTCGAACAACGTGCAAACGTAAAACGATGGGTGACTCACTAAATCACGAGGCGAGAAGAGGCCATGCAAAGAAGGCCATGGAGACGAAGCTCATGTAGCGCTTTTGATCATCCTTTAGAGTCCTTCACCGAAATGAAACGACCCTTTAGCTTTTGATGTCTCCCAATACTCCAGGTTCAGTTCCAGCTTATACTTAGAGTCCAAGCAATGGTTTCGGCTCCGGTTGACTTGTGCGCCATCCATTTGGCGAGGTCCCGACAGCGGGCGTTCGAGGGCTTGGACCGTGGGAACAAGGGCTTCCTCACCGCGGAGGATGTCCGGGGCGACGCAAGTCTGGCTTGAAGCCCTTGGTCAAGCCTGAAATGGAGCAAAACCATAGAGAACCCATGGAAACCCTTGGAAACCCTTGTAAGACCAGGTCAACATCGAATTAACATCCAGAGAAGAGATCGGTCTACTCAGCTCAAGACCCAAAGCTGAGGGGTCACCTCTCATGGAAACATGGAAGGATTTTCAAGGAGGCATCAGGGGCTTTTGGAAGACTCTTTCGGAGGAACCAGAGCTCTGCTGGGAGGACACTCCTGAGCCATGGTCTTCGCCATTCTCTACTTGTGCCAAGCCCGGCTCGCGGAAGCCACATCTGCCCCAGTTATGCCCGAACTTTTGGCACGGTTCCTTCACCAAGGCCTTTGCCAAGGGTCCCTGGCACGGGTTCCGATCCAGTGAACCGATCGAGAACTCGAGCGCCGACCCAACGGGGAGACCCCCCCGGTTCACGCCGATGGTTCACGCCGCCGACAACGCCTTCGACCGGTGGTGACCGGTGTCTTCTTCCACCGGACGCCGGTGCCTCCGGGAGTCTCAAGACTTGCGAGTGTGTAGCGTCAGGACTTGCGAGCAGCGGTCCTTCAAGTGGTGGGTGGCGTTGGGGGGCCGAGGAACTGAGTGGAGCGAGACCCAGAGCGGAGACAGACCGGCTGAGACCAGGTCGGCTGGAACATGAAGAGCGTCCCCCCCGACTTGGCAAGGGTGGTCTATGTAACAGGATCAAGTATCCTGTTTTAGATGTTTGGAAGACATGACCATAATCTCTGTAAATCAAGTATCGCTGGCTGAACATCTCAAGAGATTTCTCGCCAGCTTCGCCTCAATCACTTCGCTTCGATCACTTCGTTTTCTTCGCTCCAACCGGTCGCTCGCTTTCGGCTTTCGACTCGGCGTCGACTCGTTGGAGCGAAGAAGAACAGAAGCAACGCTCACGCTCCAAGGATGAGACGCTCACGCTGAAAGAATTGGGTTTGCCCCCTGCGACGAGGCCCATGAGACGTGCACTTCCGCCCCGGAAGCGGACTGGGACCCGAAATCGGGGTTGGAAGGATTGTCCTCCACGGAATTTCTCCATTTGGATCAGGGTGACATGGACGTGCACATCAAAGCTACAAAATTATTCTGACATATTCTGACTATACTAATTAAATAAATCTGTATAAATGGATACATACTTGATGTCCATCATTCTGTCATGACGGCCTAACTTTAAATATACTAAATAAACATCAAGACCTGGTGTTCCAAATCGAACTTGCAGAAAAGAACACCTACCTCAAGAAACCTTTACTGTTGAATTCCGGCATGTGGGATGTGACCAAGTGCGAATGTTGTTGAATCATGAGAAGCCAGCAAGACAGCCAAGCACGACACTGCCCATCACTGCTGTCTTGGAAATACTCCTGGGATTGAACGCTTGCATCCTAGGACCTCGATCGCAGCGTGGCATTTGGCACCCCGATCTCGCGCGTCAGCATCGCCGCGGTTCGCGAAGCGAGCGAGCGAAAATTCGCCCTTCTCCTGCCCCGTATCGCGCGAGTTACGACGCGAGCGCCGATCCGAGAGGCTGAACTTTCCTGACTTTGAGAAGCGCTTGAACTTTGATTTCACCGTCTTGGGCAAACACATCGACCAGGCGCGGCGCGAGACCGTGCTTTCGACTCTCGACGTGCGTTGACCTGGCGCATTTCAAGGAGCAGGAGCGGCAACAACAGCGTGGGGGGTGGGGGTTTCGTATAGATGGAAGTTTGGGAACCCGAACAGGTCCGGTGAGGCAATATGAGGAATCACATGAACAAGACCAGTAGCTGCCTCTTAAGATCTGAAGTAACACACATGTGGGAGCTGCGACACGCAATGCACATTTGAGAACTCTTTTGCTCATGTCTAATGCATCCGCACAAGGGACACATGAGTCAAAAAGTCCAGTAAAGACCAGTCGGCGTCGTATTGTATAATCGGACCGGCAACTTTTGCTTTCAAGCGTGGTTTCAGATGTGTCCAAAGGAACAATCAACAGTCTTAATTAGAACCAGACGCAAATGAACATCCTCAGTCATGAAGTTCTTTCATGTGGGGATGTTACTTGTTTAGTCAGATCTCTTCGTTTCTTCGGTGGACTACAGATGATTTTCCAAGACTTCTGCATGAACTCCCCAAACTCCTCCCACCGCTGCAGAGCCCATGCTACTCAGTGCTACTCCCTATGCCACATGCTGCCAATCGTGTGTGTTTCTCTGCCTTCCAGAGTCGCCAGGTCTTTGGTGACCAAGCTGTCATCCCTGAGCCCGGGGCTGAGGTAGAATACAGCACCGGGTACAGTGAAGAGGTCTTCTTTCTGAAGGGTCTCTTAAGGGCAGTTGGCTAGCCACTCTCTCATTTCCAAAAGTTCTTCTCGGCCAAGTACTTTACTTCACATGGCATGGGTGTGTCTTTTAATAGGGAGATCCCCGATCACCCGGTAGACTGGGTAGACAGGCATTGGAACCGAACCCAGGGAGTCTTGGTCCTTTGAGAGGTCTCCCTATTTGGGTCACGCACGTCGCCATGTCTTGGTGCTCCAGCGCAGCTTTGGTTCAAGCTTTCTAGGCCATAACACTGATACCTCTTCCTTCATTGCTGTCCATCTCCCATGGCTCGGATGAACATGGCCATCTTCAATGAAGCGCCGATGGGATGTGCTGCTCGTGTGGCCGGGCGATGCGAGTTCCAGTCGTCAGCACAGCAATGGATTCTCCATACCTTTGAAGGCCGCGGGATGGTTTGGGTGGGGAAAAAGCATGGCAAACACCCCAACACCTGCAGCAGACCCCCAAAAGAATGATCCCCTGAAAGTCAGTGGCTTGTGGAGTCGTTGTCCGGGGGTTACTTTGTTTGGGGTCACCACCGTTTGTGCAATCGGATTGCTCGTTCGCTTGCTCAAGCTTAAAGCTATTTGTCTTGCGTGTTTTTGGCAGAGCGACTGTCCCTGAACCGTCCTATCAATGAGTGCCACATGTAGAGATTGTACTCAAGAACCTGTTCTCGTTACGAAACAAATAGAACAACATAGATATAGGTTTCTTTTACACCCGATTGAACATGCATTGGCATTGTTTCATTATGTGGGAACCACTTCGTATCAACAGCCGACCAGAACCCAGAACGCAGATGTTGCGCGCGCGGGACAGCGCGCTGCTCGCGCTTTTCACAGGAGGTCAGTTGCCACTCAAGAACACTGAGGGTATGGAGCTGGGCGGTCAGATGGTGGAGGTGATGGGAACCAAGGGACCAGAGGGTCTTTGCGCTACCGGCTTCTGCAAACTTCCAGAAGGAGACTGGTCTGACGTCTCGTCATTTTTTGTTCGAGTGCCGGGTGGATTTTGTGGGTGCTTTCGTTTTCCTCACACATGCTCCAGAATCCATGTGTTCGGAGAAGCGGAAAAGCAAGAATTGCTGTGAAGTTCAATAAACATCAATAAAGTGGTTGTGCATGTTCTTGAACGAACAGGGTCTTTGGGGCTGCGGCTAGCAGGGGCTAGCAGCAGCTATAGCAGCTACAGGTTTGAACGCGCCCTAACATGTCTGGACCACCAGCAGTAGTACTAGCATGTAACTAGGCATTATGAAAATGACATCAAATGTTCGAGATCTCTAATGCCTGAAATCCCACTGCTGGAAGGCCCTAATGGTGTACCATCCTTTTTGTTTGTTGTTCTGTGTGGTTCGTAAAACAGTGGATGTTTCACAACAGATGGAATGAAGGTCTTGCTGCCTCAACACTCGCAAGATGGATCAGCAATGCCAGAATACTAGTTCTAGACTACGACGGTTTGATCGTAGAATAATGTAGAATATTTTTGGTTGTCATGGTGAAATCAACGCATGCTTCGTTCCGGAAGTTGAATATATAATATTGAGTAGTATATTCATGAGGTTCTCTATTCTTAAATCATTTTGGCATAGACAGCGAACAGGATCGTCAGGGATCGTTACGTCGCAACCGAGTGGACACCAGTTCCGAAGGCTCGTTGAATTTGGGGCAAAAGACAGTGGCGTCTGCTGCACTGCTGGACCTCTTTTTGAGCTTCAAAGACAGATCCAACTCCTCCAGACTGAATAGACTGTCCCGTGTTTTCCACCAGAAAGTGCAGGACTCTCTAGGGATTCAGAAGCTGTTTGAACTTTCTGAACACACAAACCATGGCTCCAGACCGCCAAGGAGACATGGATGGAGAGCTTTGGACCTCCGCGGTGCAAATGACTCATCACCCCAAGCTCAGGCATTTGTTCCAGCCTGCGCAGCCCAGCAGGACATAGGAGGACCTTTGTTTCGGAAAAAGAACCACACACTCTGACACTGGTTTTCAGTTAACGCAAGTCACGTTGGGAAG